GCCGTATGAGGACGCTTAAGGTCGCTCAGCGAGCTATGGAGAGGGCTATGCTCGGAGTTTCTCTGCGTGATAGACTCAGAAATGAGGATATCCGCAGTAAAACCAGAGTGACCGACATAGCCCAACGGATTAGTAAGCTGAAGTGGCAATGGGCCGGCCATATAGCTCGAAGAACCGATAACCGATGGGGAAGAAAGGTTCTCGAGTGGCAGCCTCGTACCGGTAGGCGTAGTGTAGGGCGACCCCCCACTAGATGGAGTGACGACCTGGTAAGACATGCAGGAAGTCGATGGATGCAGGTGGCTCAGGACCGTGCTTTGTGGCATTACTTGGGGGCGGCCTATGTTCAGCAGTGGACTTGTGAAGGGCTGTAATGATGATGATGATGAAGGGTACTAAAATTCACAGAGTTTTCTAAAGAACCACTAAAACAATTATTTTATCAAGCAATAGATGCTTATATTGCGCTGTAATACTTTAAAAGATATGCATTCTTAGTACCTTTCCTTTTATCGAACTTTAAAGCAATAAAGGCTTAAGACAATGGGTTTAACAAAAAAATATATCTGAGGAAGACGTGAATAGTCTTGTGGATGTCTTAGGCTAAAATTATAAACAATACTCTGACTTGGCTCGGAATTTACTTTCGAGCTACAAAAATTACGTTATTTATAGAACTAACCTCAAAATCTTGCTAAGTAAAGCCTAAGTCAACAAGACTTAAAAAACTCAAGATATTACCTTAACAAAATTAATGGTCCAAAATTACTTTACACTCAGAACAACTAAAAATTCTTTAACTTTATCGTAGTTTTTCAACTGCAATAAAGCCATGTTGGAGAAAATTTCATGTAATTAAGGATATCTTAAGACTTAAAATTTTACGATAATGCTGTAAAAACAGAAAAAAAAAAAATTTCTCCAAAAACAGAAAAAAATAATACTTACTTACTTATCTTCACGCACAATCCCTAACGGGGTAGCCAGAGAGAACAGATCGCCAAGTGTCATGATCCTTACATACCTCTTTCGCTTCTTTCAGGTTCATTAACTTCTTCATACATGCACGTCTAGGTATCCGAGTACTCTTGACCTTCCCCTCTTCGAGCAATTTGCTCACATGGTCTTCGAAAGTTACTAAAGTTACGGTCTACCTCGACACCTTTTAATATTTACTTTTGCTCTATATATTTTCTTCACCATTCGGTCTTCACTCATTCGCTCAACGTGCCCAAACCATTGGAGTACGCCCCTATCAATTTTTGTGATAAGGTCATCTTTCAATCCTGCCATATTGCGAATCTCTTCGTTTCGTTTTCGATCGGCTATGGTAACGCCACACATTTTACGAAGAGATCGCATCTCCACTGCATTCAACTTGCTTTTATGCTTCTTCTGGCATACCCACGTTTCGCTGCCCTATAACAAAGTCGGTACCAACACTGCGTTATGTATTGCAAGGCGTGCACTCTTCACCACGCCTTGCCTTTTGACTAATGCATTCAGAGCACCATTGACTTTGTTTCCGGCAGCAACGCGCCTATCCACATCTAAATTACATCTTCCATCTCGGCTGAAAGCACTCCCCAAGTATACAATTTCATTTACCTGTTCTAGATGTTTTTTTTGTTTATTTACCCATATTTCACATTTCATTCTCTCTTCGTCCTTTTCAAATACCAGAACCTTAGTTTTATTAGCATTCAAACGGAGACCTTTAATTTCACATTCCTCTTTCATACACGTGACTAATGCCTGCAGTTCTGCTTCTGATGGTGCAATAAGCACTGCATCATCAACATACAGCAGACAATTTACTTTAATGTCACCCAATTTCACACCCAAACAGCTATTTTTCAGCTTCTGTAAACAGCTGTCGAGATACAGTATGAACAGCTAGAAAGTCATGACACAACCCTGTTTTACGCCCGCTTGGACGCTAAACATGGGTGACAGGTCTTGCCCTACCCGCACACAGGCTTTGCAGTCATAGTAAAGTGACTGCACAGCCCTTAGCAATCGACCATCCACACCATATCCCGGCAACAGTTCCCACATTTTCTTTCTTATAACCTTATCAAATGCTTTCTCCAGATCCACAAAAGCACAGAAAATCCTCTGGTTAACACTCAGAAGCTTTTCCGTGATCATGCGGAGAGAAAACATTTGATCCGAGCATCCTCTTCCAGGTCTAAATCCGCATTGTGCCTCCCATAAGAATCTTTCCGATTTTTTCTTGCATCCTACGTGTCAAAACCTTCGAGTAAACTTTACTTGCTAAACTGGTCAAGCTGATCGCCCGATAGCACCCGCAGTCAAAATGTGAACTTTTACCTTTATATAAAGGCACAATGACCGCGGATCGCCAATCATCCAGGACATCTCCCGTCCGCCAGCACAAGTTGCACAGTAGACGAAAGTTGTCCCAAACGCGAGGCCCACCGTACTTGACTATTTCAGCAGTAACTCTGTCTAGTCCCGCAGCCTTACCACATTTCAAACTTCGAATCGCACGTTCAATCTCTTTCATGCTGATGACCTCAGTGTCATCAAGGTCCGTGTCTGGCGTGCCAGTCATGGCGTTACCCTGGATCCTTTACTAAGATCATGACACGCATACATTTCTCTATAAAATTCACTCCATCGCTGCATGACGTCCGATTTTTAGAAAAAAATAATTTCTGTAAAAATGGAAAAAATAATTTCTATAAAAACAGAAAAAAATTTATGACAATATTTTATCATAATAAAATGATTTTGATGGTTGTGTGCTATTTTCCCTTGAGTCTGTTTTAAAATTTATTTTAAAAGTGACTCAAGGTTAAAACTACAATTGTCCATGGCAACAATAAAGTGACACCACACACACTTCAAGATATTGGTATGTGTTGTACTTTATGTTCTGCTCAGTTGCTGTTTCGGCATGTTCATTTTTAACCCAGCTTGTTTAACTGACTTTGTGCTTTCTTTTACGACTGACCACGGCTACTTATTCAATGGATTTTGTACCTGCTACACCACTGATCCACGACTACGGACTCCGAAGCTCTAAAATGGAAAGTGTAAAAAAACCCTTACTCGGAATACGAGAAACAATTACTTCTACAGCTGTTTCAAGACAAGAACGGCATTAAGGAAAAAGAAGGACGGACGGTATTTTCTTTATAAAAAGTGAATTTTGGGAAATGACACAAATTATTAATAAAAGTACCAAAATAATTCAATCCTTGAAATATTTTTAGTTGTTTGTTTTCATACAAGTAGTTTGGATTATTTGGCACAGTTTTCGTGTTTGGTTTATAAAAAAATAACTCAAGTCTCATACTGATACTACACGCACGTACAGAGGGCACACAAATAAGTTTAACTATAAATTCTTGCTACAGATACTTACATCAAATACTACATTTACTGTCACATAACAATTGCTAAAAAAATAAGGCTCCTATGAATTCAGGTTTAATAAATCGTTTATATATAGGCCAAAATCTGGATCATACAAAACTTCTGTAAATTGAGTCTCGTTAAACCTTTGGTATCTTTTAATTAAATCTTTAGATGGATTATGTAATTCTTGTACAAAAACTTTTTGATTCACTGAATTTATTAACAAAACGTCTACATTCACACATGATGTTGATATTTTAGATCTAGAATTCTCAGAAATAATATGTTTGATTGATTTAATTTCTAGTATTGTTTTTCTTGAATTTCAGCAAATGAACATTGACTGGTAGATGATGTAGAGGAAGTTAGAACTGATGCTACTATATATTCTGGATTAGTCTACATTTAGAGAAAGAATAAAAGAGAGAGATTACTTCTGCCTTGCTTGCTCTGGCAAGGTTTTTGTCTTTAAAATCAATAAGTATTCTGCAAATGTTTTCAACTAAAAAGTGGATTAAAGTCAATTCTACCATAAAATAATATGCGATGCATGAAATTAAGGTAACTGATTGTAAATATAGGAGCTCAATAATGTATCATACATTTATTTAACCAGCAAGATGACGTAGTTTGTACTCGTTATTTTACTTATTTAGTTGTATTTCTATTTTAGGTTAGTGACCTTGTATTAAATAATGACGAGCAAGTGTTGTTCCCAAAGAGAGTTCGTGTGTTTAATGTGAAGCTAAATACTTTTAACAATATAGAAACAGAATTTATTGAAGAACTATTAAAAACCAAATGCCCATTGGTGAGCCCGGTACCATCGAATCGGCTCAGAACAGAGTTACAAGTAAACAAGTAAACAGAAAAAATCTTATGATGAACTCAGATAGGAGCTGATATTAAAAAAAATAGAAAATAATAAGGAAAGATATGAAGACGAAAGGAGACGGACTGAAGAAATGTATTTAAATAAAAATGAATTTTTAGAAAAAAACGATCTTTAGAGTTAGAAATTTTAGAAATAAAAAAGAAAAGATTTTAAAAAATAAAGATATAAATTAATTAACCCTCGGCTAGTCGTGCTTTTTTGTAATGTCGTTCATCGCGTGGGGTCTTTGAATGCCCCTTAAATAAATTGGTTAAAAATACATAAATTTATATATTAACCTACATCATTTTATATTTTAGTCTTATTTGATTCAATATCAATAAAATGAAAATAAAAAAACATTTAATTTTTTATATATTTATTGATTGAACTTACATACTAGAAATAGGAACTAAAAATTCTCTGCATGAGATCACTAGTTAATTAAAATTAAAAAAAAAATCATCAGAAATTAAAAACTATTATAAAAACTTAAGTAATTTAGATCAAATTGAAATTATCTATCTTTTAATATAAAATTTGGTACGCTTAATCACAAAAACATATAAACTTTGACGTATTTAAAAACTTAATAAATTTTCAGTACGAACACATTCAGTACATGCTGTTTTAATATCTGTTGGGCAAATGTTTCCCTTACAAAAGTAACAAATAGATTTAAACTTCCTGGCAATTCTTCGAGGAAAATGAATACATCGCTTTCTCATTGACACGACGTTTACTTCATCTTGAACATCCTGAAGTGGTGGTACAAATCTTCTTCAACTGTATGTCTCAACTCACGCGGCAAATTCCTAATAGTTGCCTTCGAATGCAATTTCTCTCCCTTTTTTACTATGTAAAAGTTACTGGTCGAAATTTTTATCAATGGTTCTCCATCCCCATCACTGAACGCAGATTTGAGAACTTCCGTAGATTCGTTCACCAATACGAAACCCAAGTGCTCCTCGTTTGGCATTTCCAAAGATATATCATAATTTGAAAATATCTGATACAAATCATCGTCACATTCTTGTTCCGAGTCAGTGTCGTGCTCACCCACTTGATCAGGAAACATTCCGGTTTCATTTTCCTCATCATCACCACCGAGGGTGTCATTGGCATCTTCTTCTAGCCAGCTCAATATGAGTCTTTGCTGCTGTTCGTCCATTTTTTATATAAAGATGATAAAAGTAATCTAAAACAATGAAAACAATCACTGTACAAAACAATAAAATTAAATTTCATCCATCATCAACGAATTATAATATAAAAAACAAAAAAGGAGTTGTATTACGAAACTTCCATAATAAAAAGTTACAAAATTTTACTTACGCGGTTTATCGTGTGGGGTATTTCAGAGTCCACACGCGTCCGTACCATATATCGCTTGCGCGCGAACTGAAGTTAGCCGTGATGCGTGCCAAATATGGTTCAATTCAGGAAGGTATACCAGGAGCTGAGTCACTACGATTATTTTAAATATAGGTTAGGTAGGTAGGTAGGTATATACGACCCGAGGGTTAAACATGTTATGTTTTACTAAAGTTTATTTCTTAGTTAGTTCGGTAAATTGTGCCATTATAGACTGACAAAATACTAAACCTACAGTAGATAATGTTTCATTGTTTGGTCTTTCTGACACTTTCGGCGTATGATCATTTTGACCATCAGGGATATCAAAGAAGATAGGTATTACTTATTATGTATAAAATACACTTTCTATATACATAACCGGTTGTAGATTCTGACAAATCGTAAGAACTTGTAAATTTATTTGAATAAAAATTCTATTCTTTTCTATGAAACAATAATTACCTGAAAACATCCTGTAGCTTAAAACGTTAATAGCCGAAAATCGATATCTGCTGAATTTCCCAATGTATCTATATTTTTAAAGTAGATACAACTCTCTCTATATTGTCCATTACATTACATAGAATAAGCTCGAGTTACAGAAAAGTCTAAAAATTGTCGAGTCCAAATTCCTGAAGCTAGGTTGAATAGGTAGAAGGGATCGGGAGTACAAGTTTCAAATGCTAGTCGTAACAAAAAGATTAGGAATTTAAAATATAAATAAAACATAAGATGCACACAATATTAATACATCAAAAGCTTCACGTTTGAAACAAAGATTTTACAGCGAGCACGACTGGCTCATCAATCGTTCCGTTTCTTTCTCATATTTTTAAACTAAAATTTGTTCCATGTACCATTATCTCTCTTTAACCACATCCGTGTTCTATTTCTTGTAATAATAACTTATTTCTTAAACATAATTGGGATTTTTTCGATTTTAAATATTTATTTTGATTGATGATGATTTGATAAATTGACTGAAAAAGCAAGAAGGTCCTTAATCCGTCCTAAATCTAAAACCTAAATCCGGATAAATTATATTTAGATACAAATTACCGACTGATGAAACATGAATAATATTTTTTAATCTTATTGACTTAATAGAAAAAACTGAACTGGTTATTTGAATAAAAAATAATAAGTGCATTTAGTTTAATTTAAATTTTCGTATTTTTAAAAAAATACTAAAAAAGAGCTCGAAATAATAGATTTTCTCACAATAGAAGGGAACTTGAAAAAAAAAAAAACACTACGATTTCGTGACGACCCGATATCTGTCAGTGTCAAAATTTACCTTCTTATATTGTAGCAGTTTTTTATTGCCTGAAAACACGGACAAAACGCCATTTTTTAAAAAATCCTAGCTAGATCGATTTATTGCCCCCGAAGACCCTTGGACGCAAAATTTTATGAAAATCGTTGGAGCCGTTTTCGAGATTCCGATTATATTTAGCATAAAAGTTCTGACGTGGAGTGAGACGGCTCGCTATATTAGTGCAACGTTGAGAGAGACAACTAGGGAACGCACTGTGCGTTTTAATTTTAGTGAAATTTTTATTATATTTATATTCATAGTAAATTTTTTGAGTTGAGCGATGAAAAATACCGAACACTAGGAAACAATTAATTAAAAATAATTGTGGAAGCAGATCGTTATCAAACAAACAAAGTCGTAACGTCATGGGTTGACGTTAGTTTTTCCACAATAGTGACTTACCTTATCTATAAATAAATACTTGACCAAATCGGTAAAATAAAAGAACTTGGGAAGTAGGTGCCTCATGAAATAACTGATGTCCATAGAGGAGCATGCGGTGAAGCTTGTCTTGTTTTGAGGTGTAGATACAGATTTTTTTTTTACTATTATAAGCCAGCTGAACCCAAGAGCTGTACCCTAAATATCCTAAATCATAACTCACAGATAGTCAAGTAACGATATGTATAGTTATGTTCACTTCATGGTGTAATTCACTATAGCTTTTTGAGATCCAGTGCGTCTGTAACAGCAGATGTCTTTTGTGAAAAACTTCTAACAATGAAAGCAAACCTCTCAGTGAATCCAGCCTACTCGCAAGGCCTAGAGTGATAAAATTAGCATCTTATTCGCGATTTGAACAATTTCCTGCAAGTAAAAAATTTGGTTGTCAGAAACTATGTTCTCTTGAAAGGGCAGAAATGTTAATATAATGAAGAAATAGTGAAAAAAGTTGTGTTATATTTTTAATATAAAACACCAATTTTATACATTCGTCAACACAAGTCCACCGCTGAACATATATCACACCCAAGAAACGGCAAAAACACGGTTTCATCCCAAAGGATCAATAAGCTGAAATGGTAATGTGGAAACCAAATAGCTAAAAAATAAAACCGATGGGGAAGAAAGGCTCTCGGGTGATAGAAACCCAGTGGCTCCCCACTAGATGGAGTGACGACCTGGTACAATATATCATACCTTAACACACATAAAACAAAGTTAATAATACATTGGCATTGAATATTTTGAAGAATTTTGTAATTTAAGACCAGCTGTACCAACATTTATCACGAAAGTTTGTTTGTAAACATGTCACCTGCCAGTTTTAAGCCGGACATGTTTTTTCAAGGGACGTTAGTTATTACAGTATTCGTAACTATTTCACTCGTTAAACTTTGAATGTACGTTAAAAATATACACCTATGTTAACATAGTGATGGCGTGTTATAAGAAACTTATATTTTATAATATAAACATATAAAGAAAATTGAACTGCTCGTATGTAATGTCGAAATAACTGCCCTTTATTGAGTTGAAGGTGTTATTAGCATGAAATTAAGATATAAATAATTTTTGTCTCTCTGTCTGGCGATCTGTCTGTCTGGGCTAATCTTCGGAATGGCTTAATCGATAGGATTTTCGCAAGTAAAAAATTTGATAGTTATTTTCTTGTGTAAAGTGTCTCTCTCACTGTCAACTACAATTGGAGATATGTTAAAAGAGCGCAGGATGCCTAACAACATATCAAAATCTACAGTATTATACGCAATACTAAAATCTAGCATCGTAAGAATAGTAAGCTTATGTTTCTCCATAGCATACTGAATATAATCGGTGATTTGTAAAAGTGTAGTAGCCGTAATATTGCCAGGGCGGAAACCAGTAGGCAAAGGATTTAAAGGATTAGGTTTTAAGTGATAAGTGCTTAATTTATTGTGATTAAAGAAATTTGCCTTTAAAGAAATTCCAAAAGGAGCATAACCTGAAGATACGAAAACAAACCCAAGGTACAAGATGGACCAGTATATATCATCGCCTACCTTACGAGGTTAAATTTAAAATTAGCCTGACCGTACTGACGGCAAGATGTTACGTAAAATCGATTCAATAAGCTTGAAGCGAGATAAAGGAAATTATAAATGTATAAAGAAATGCATGTCACACGAGATAGACACATTTCACATAAAAATACATATATTAATAATCCCACAATTGTCAATTATAAGCCATATAATTGAGGTTTTACTATGTGTTCGTAGATACATATTTTTTAATCTTTTCCTGCAATAAACTAGATAGTGTAAATTAATGGTTTGAATAGTACATTAACAATAACTATAATGGTTATATTTAGTACAATTTTTTCGTTTACATAATATTTACATATATACTAAATTAACAAATAAACTATAATAAAGAAAACTAAACCTAGTAACATAAACTATCATACAATACTACTCCCCTTATATTATAACATTAAAATTGACAATAATCTAAATACTTATACTTACGCTAAAATATTTTTAATAATATAACTTATGTATAATTCAATATGTTTATGTTATAATATATTCATAAACGCATTACGAATTTAAACATAAATAAAATATTGAAATTCTTACATCATATAATGAAGGTAGCATTGACCTCTGAAGAAAATTTGATAAAAGTCAGCATTTACCTTGCGTACAACGAATATAAGGCGTATTTTTCTGATGAGGTGATTTATCAATGTTACAAGTTTGAAGAGTTGTAATGATCGCCAGTGAAATAAGACTGGGATTTTATCGTCGTTTATTCTGTTCTTGAGCATGTTTACGAAAATATACTTTTTGTGGATTATTTTTCAAACTATTTGTATAAGGTAATGTGTACGAGGCTATTTGTGTGAGATTGAATTGGCCTAATTTAACAAGTTTGGAGTTGAGTGTAAATAAATGGTCCACAGAAGTAGCATACATTTTCTTGGCTGATTTTGATTTATTTTAAAAAACTAAGAAGCATCATCTTATATTAAACACAAAATCAAAAACTAAATTATTAAAAAAATTATTTAATTATTGTAAGTTTTAAGCAATTCAATACTGATGAAGAGGGTAAGTGCGCATCTAAGCACATTATTTGCCTTCGTGTTGTTTTAGTTGTTTTGTATTTTGGATTGATTAAGGTTAATTTTTGCTGAATTTCATTATGACGTCGTCAAGAACCTGCCACACGCAGTTTACATTATTAGACAATTTCATGTAAAAGTAAGTAACTGTATTAAAACTTGAGTTTTGATTATTTTTCAGTCTGTATATTTAATGTTTATTGTTACGGATTTATTCTGTTAGACAATGATTATTGTTTACTTCTAAGGAATGGTGATTTATTGAAACCACAATGGTGAATTGAGAAGCACGAGGAGCTATGTAATTTGCTTCACTGCCAAGGAATTTATGAAAGAATCTCGCAGTGACAAAAGTGGCGAAAAAAGTTCTAGTTTTATTGTTTTAAAACGTTCAATACAAATCGAGAGCGCTTACATAAAGTTTTAAATGCATGATTCGATTCAT